GAGGGAGGGAGGGGATAAGAGAGAAGGAGGAAAGGAGAGACAGAGGGAGAAAAGGAATGAAAAATGGGAGAGGGAGAAAGAGAGAGGGAAGGAGAAAGGTAAAGAGGACAAATAAATGTTAGAGGGGAGACATTAAATGCTGGAGGCTATTTAGCAAGTGTGAAACTTTTTAAAAACGTCTTTTTTCACATGAAGGGACTGGGGAGGGGGGAGGGTCAGAAAAATGACCACTCCTTAGGAGATTACTTAATAGGGCAGAATGAAGTCAGCATTATGATTCAGGCGCTGACATATGGCATCCATATTTGGGCTAATTACCATGGTGAAGAGTACCAGAGTCCACAGGCAATCGCCTGGTGCTGCTGGCTGCCACAGCCTCCCATGCTGGATTTCGTTACACACCTGTGGGTTCTGGCAAAATGGCCAGATCACATTTGGCGCACGCACGCGGAGGGCGCATTAACGCCCTCCTTCCCAGGAAAACAACTGGGGCCTCTGGGCTCCTGCTTATATTTGCCATTCAAGGCCACTGTAACTGGAGTCTAGAAAAGAAAGCTGCCTCAACTCAGTGCTGTACACAGCAGGCTGGTAAATAACAGCACATGCAGATAACATAGTCAAGAGGACTGAATGAAGAAACCATTTTCAAATGGTTCAATCCCTAGGTCTAGGTCTAAAGGGGCAAAGGGAGGTTGACAAAGACCCAGGAAGATCGCATGCGGGCTGAGGAGACACCAGGAGGTGCGAGCTGCTTCCACAGCAGCCTGGGCAGCACCAACCAGCAGAGGGACTGCTGTTCCGGCCCCTGCTGCTGTTCCTTAGAGTGGCCAGAGCCAGCTAGAAACCAAAGGGGAAAGCTCAGGTGACACCCAGGCCGCCCAGAGCACAGAGCAGGGCGAAGAAAGATCTTGAGGGCTAAGTGGAGAACAGGAACACACCAAAGTATTCTAAATGCTTACCACATGGCACAGCACGGAAAGTTCTGCCAGCCAGCTTCACCTAAATCTTCTAGAGAGGCTGCCTATAAATAAGTTCCTCATCCTAGACCAAGTTAAAGGGGAAAAAATTAACCGTAATTCTAGGCTTAGTACACTAGTCTGGTATCTCTGCATGTCTAAGAGTAAACAGCTGAGCCAGGCATGGTGGTGCACACCTGGAATGCCAGCACACGGGAAACTGAGGCAGGAGGCTACATCCCCTGGCCAGCTGAGCGAAGCAGTGAGTTCAGGGCTGCCTGCACTACAATATGAGACCCTGTCTAAAAAGAAAAAAAAAAAAAAGCATAAGCAGATGAGTCAGTTCTCTACAACATAAAGCCCTGGCCTGTGCTCAAAGAGCACCTATTTCATACCTTCAATATCACACTTGTCATGACATACTGCAATTTCTGTTTATTTGTTTCTCTCTCATTAGATTCTGAGCTCTTAGGGGAGGGACCGTCCGAGTCATCTTTGTATTACCAGGAATTAACAAGGGACAACCAATGCACCTTGTGATTGAATCTACTGGTCGGCTAGTGTCCACTCACTAGCAGTCTAATGCCATGGTGGCTAAAATATGTATGATGACCCCTAGCAATTAGACACTAACAGATAGTATTCCGGATGTGGGTCACACACCGCGCTGAGACCTAAGTCACTTCCACACCAGCGCACCATCGTTCTCTCCAGAGCAGCTTTTCTCTTGTGCTCAATGACTGGCCTTTTCTACCACACAGAACTAGTCCTCAAAGAACCAAAGACCATCAAAAGAACCAGAGAAACTGAACACAGTGGCACACACCTGTAATCTTAGCTACTAGGAGGCTAAGACAAGAGGATCACAGGCTGAAGGTCAATCTGGGCAACTCAGGAAACTATCTCAAAGTTTTTAAAAAGAAACAGGCTGAGGCCAGAGAGATAGCTCAGCAGCTTAAGCACCTGCTTGGCAAGTGTAAGGTCCTGAGTTCAAGTCCCAGTACCAAAAAAAACAGGCTGATGGTATTTCTTAGCACTCAGTAAATTCACTGAATTCAATCTCCAATATCAAAATAAACAACACACACACACAAAAAATGGCCAGGCTACACTCCACTTCAGAAAGGAACCAAATATAAACCCAGAATTTTAATTATTTATCTCCTCAGAATTTTAATTCTTTATCCAAAGGTTTACCAGGCCCATAAAACAAGCTAATAAGAACATGTAGATGAATTCATGTTTCATACCAATGATAAAGATGATTGAGAGACATAAACATAAAAATACAGTAAACTTAATGAACACTCCAACAGCTATCACCCTTAAAATTACCAAGTACGAGTATAACAAAACTCACATAATATCACCATACTGAAATGGCTGCGCTGTATAACGCTGGAGTGGTCATTAACAGGACCTGGAACATATTCATATTATAATTATAAATCACTTTCATCTAACCCTGTACTTAGGAAATGCTGAATCACCCTTCTCTTGGTATCATCCTCTCTTACCTGTAGATGCTCCACAGAAAAATTAATGCCAAATTGATATCCCTCTTCAAGCTACCACGATTTTAGGCTGCCAATCCCTTGCTTTCAGCATGGTGAAAAAAAACAAATTTAATATGATCTTTGAACTCCCCCAAAAATGATGAGTTTACTATAAAAACATTTTCCCAAAGTCAGCATGAAAAAATTCTATGTCTCTGCTCTCCTTCACTGCTGTTTGTAATATATATCTAATTAAAATAAATCAGTGAGATAAGTTACTTTCTAGCAACAGAGAATTCTGGGCAAACTGCAATATACTGAATTACCTTAAAAGAAACTTGTGTAATATAAAAACAGATGAAAGTGTTTCAAATAGGCCAAGCCTCTTTTTTGAAAACAAACTTAATGCCTAAGTCCCCAAAGAAAACATTTTCCAAAAGCACCAGGAATTAACAAGGTGGTTAGAAGATACTTTGATCGTCTATTTTGAAGCCATCACAGCCCTGTAACTGTCAGGTCAATGAAGCGATAAAACCAATCTCTCTAGGATAATTAAGTGATGTTTGTATCATACTGAAAACACAGTCCACAACAGCTTTAATTTATAAAACTGCATTGCATATAGGTTCCTCCATTACGCATGAGTTTTTTGAAAATGTGGCCCTACTGGGCTGGGATAGCTCAGTGGCACAGCGCCTGCCTTCCTGCCAAGTGTGAGATCCTGAGTTCGATTTTCAATACCAAAACAAAAACAAAAACAAAAACAATGTGGACCTACCACATAACACTGTGTTTAAAGACATTAGCTTCGGGGCCAGGGAGATGGCTCAGTGGAATAAGCGCTTCCCTGGCAAGCGCAAGGGCCTGAGTTCAATCCCCAGTTCTGAAAAGACATTAGCTTCAGCTTCCTCAGAGCAGTGTGTACTATGTTTCATCCCACATATTTACTGTTTGGTCCATTTAAAAACTCCTGTTTTAGTCCAGACACCATGGCACACGTCTGCAATCCCAGTACTCTGGGGGCTGAGGCAGCAAGATCGCCGAGTTAGAAAACAGTTTCATCTACAGTGAGTTGAAAGTCAGCCTGAACTACATAGCAACACCCTGTTTCAAAAAAATCCTGTTTTATAAATTGATTTTCACTGGTAGGGAAGTTGATCTACAATTACAATAGCATACAATATATGGGAATGATACAATAATGTCCATTACATCAGACTAATCAAAAAAAATTTTTTTTCTTCTTTTTCTTCTTCTTTTGAGACAGGTTCTCCCTGTATAGTGCAGCCTGGACTTGAACACACTATGCGGCCCAGGCTGGCCTAGAACTCATGACAATTTTCCTGCCTCTGCCTCCCAAATGCTGAGATTACAGACATGCACCATGACAACCAGCTCCAAAATAACTTCTGATTTAACATTTTCCTTTCCCTTTACTAAAATGTAAGTGAAATTCAACAAAATTCCACTAAAACCAAGAACAAGTTAAAGTATATTCCTAATTTAACATCTTAACCAAAGGTAAAATGGTCATTGCAAAAAATAAATTTAGATGTTTTCAGCAATATTTTGTTTTTTAAAAGCAAAACAAAAAATCCAGGTAACAAAACCTCTAAAAACCCGGTTAAGATTGGAAGAAAAGGAGATGAGATTGGAAATAAGAAAGAATAGTCAAGAACTACTGAATTGAAATCTGGGAAATTTCCTCTTTTAGAAGCCACTACGCAGACTTGCATCTGAGATGCTGAAGCTACACAGCTCAGACCCCGAGCACTTGCCAGGACTGCTTAGATTACCTCAGCAAACCTCCAGCAGGTCTAGTTGTTTTCCGTAATATAAATAGCTCACCAGATAACTGCCTCACACAAAACACTGCAAAGGGGAGAGTGCCACCTCTTGCCACGCCTCACCCTTGATTCCACTCTCCTCAAAAGGATGAAACTCCCGGCAACCAGAAACACCAGGACGGAGGTTTTCCAATTCGGAAAACCACGCCACCCTCGCTCCCCTGCGGGCAGCGGATGCCTACAGCCCCCCGCGGGGCTGTCGCGGGAGGCGAGCGCCGCTGCACGCCGAGGTCGGCGGAGAAGGCTGCAGCGGGGCTGCCGCAGGTGGGGCACAGCCTCCCCGAAACGAGCAGGCCGAGCACTCGCAGCCTCACGATTTCCAACCTGCCGCTAGCTTCTAATTAGGGCTCTTCTAGCCTGTTACAGCCGGAAACTGAACTGCTCCTCCTCACAAGCGAGCTCCCCGGGGCCCCGGCGCATCCCACTTCCAGTTTCGGTGCAGAGCCCGCCGCGGCAGAGGGAAGAGCCGCCCGCCTGCGAGCGAGCGAGGGAGCGAGGCAGGGAGCGAGCGGACGGCAGAGAGGAGAGAGCGCGGCGCGGTGCAGGCGTGAGCAGCGCGAAGCAGGGCCGCCCGGCCACCCGGCGACGGACAGCAGCGGAGCGGCCACGCGGGAGCGGGGAGAGCCAAGCGGGCCCGGCGCGGAAGCCGCCCTCGCGCCACGCCCCCGCGCGCACCCCCGGGCCGCCGACGTACCGAGCACCACGCAGAGCACATCCAGGGCCACGTACGGCAGCCGCGTCTTGTCGAACATGGTCTCGGCGGGCGCTGCTCAGCGCGGGCGGCGGACGCGGCTG